CTGAACTGTTGCACTAGATCAAATTTCTAGTAGTGATCACAAAAGTCTTCAGTATGTGTTTACTCAGAAAAAGCTTAATCTCAAACAAAAGAAGTGGTTAGAATTACTCAAGAACTATGAAATGAGTATTATTTATCACCCAAGTAAGGCTAATTTTGTTGTTGATTCCTTGAGCAGGTTATATATGGGCAGTACCACACATTTTGAGGAAGATAAGAAAGAGCTAGCAAAATATGTGCATAGACTTGCACGCTTGGGAGTCCGACTAATGGATTTTACAGAAGGAGGAGTAGTGGTGATGGATGGGGCTGAATCATCCTTAGTGTCAGAAGTGAACGAGAAGCAAGACCAAGATCCTATTTTTCTTGAATTGAAGGTAAATGTTCATAAGCAAAAAGTAATGGCTTTTGAACAAGAGGGAGATGGTGTGTTGAGGTATCAAGGTAGATTGTGAGTACCAAGGGTGGATGAACTCCATGAGAGGATCATGGAGGAAGCTCATAGCTCTAGATATTCTATCCATCCAGGCTCCACAAAGATGTATCACGATTTGAGAGAGGTTTATTGGTGGAGTAGTATGAAAAAGGGCATTGCAGAGTTTGTTGCTAAGTGCCCAAATTGCCAACAAGTTATGGTAGAGCATCAAAGGCCAGGTGGTATGGCTCAGAATATAGAACTTCCGTAATGGAAATGGGAGATGATCAATATGGACTTCATCACAGGTTTACCAAGGTCTCGCAGGCACCATGATTCTATTTGGGTGATTATTGATAGAATGGCAAAATCAACCCACTTTTTGCCGGTAAAGACTACCCATTCGGCAGGAGATTATGCTAAGTTGTATATTCAAGAGGTAGTTAGACTTCTGCAAGTTTCAATTATTTCAGATAGAGGTGCGCAATTTACTGCACAGTTCTGGAAATCTTTTCAGAAAGGCTTGGGTTCAAAGGTGAACTTAAGTACTGCTTTTCATCCTCAGACATATGATCAAGAAGAGCGCACTATTCAGACCTTAGAGGATATGTTGAGGGCTTGTGTGATTTATTTCAAAGTTAATTGGGATGATCACCTACATCTTATTGAATTTTCTTACAACAATAGTTACCATTCTAGCATCCAAATGGCTCCTTATGAAGCTCTTTATGGGAGAAGATGCAGATCTCCTATTGGATGGTTTGAAGTTGGTGAAGCTGGGTTGATAGGACCAGATTTAGTTCACCAAGCTATGGATAAATTGAATGTGATTTAAGAGAGGTTGAAAACAGCGTAGAGTCATTAGAAATCCTACACTGATGTTAAGAAAAGGGAGTTGGAGTTTGAAGTAGATGATTGGGTATACTTGAAAGTTTCACCCATGAAGGGTGTTATGAGATTTGGTAAGAAGGGGAAGCTTAGCCCCCGGTATATTGGTCCTTATAGAATATCCAAGAGAATTGGCAATGTAGCTTAAGAGTTAGAGCTACCACAAGAGTTAGCAGCGGTTCATCCGGTATTTCACGTCTCCATGTTGAAAAAGTGCATGGGAGATCGTTCACTTATCATACCAACTGAAGATATTGGTATCAAGGATAACATCTCCTCACACTCACACTCGCAATAGAAGAAGAAGAGGAAGGAATACCTCACGCACGACACCACTGTCTCCTCCTCCAATAACCAAAACTGAGGGATACCTCACGCAGATTAGTTCTCTTTTTAATAAAATTATTACAAAAAAGTTACTGAAATATATATACAAGATAATCTACAAATATAATACACGAGAAGACAAAATGATTTTTCCTAAGAGACGTTAGAACTTGAAATTGAAGTGTCCTAAGGGGCTTCATATTGTACCTTAACTTGGGGAGCAGGAGCTTCTAGAGCAGACCTTTTTGGGGCATTCGGTACTTCTATTTCTAGTGCTGCTAGTGAAGCTTGGAAACTTTTAACTTCTGGTGCAGTTGGTGCTGTTATGGTGGTCTCTAAGCATTTGTGAAATTCTTTATTGCACTATCTTAAAAAAAGCAGTTATGTGTAATCAACAATCAGTATTTCATTTTCCAAGAAATATTCAAAGCACTTTGCTTCAATCAGTAAAATGTAGACACAATAGAATATTTGTTCCTCATTTACCGTAAGCTGCACATTTTACTCTATATTTAATCTATACTTCCAAGTTGCATCTGCTTTAATTCTGTTCTTGTTGCTCACCCTGCAGGTATATTTTTGTAGCATGGATCATTATTCCCAAAAAATGGTAGAAGATAGTGAATGTGTAGTTGACGAAGTCAATATCTCCAAAGTTAGCATCGTACAATATTTATTGGCTATACAGAGTGTGTATCTACAACAACTAATATTCAACAAATTAGTCATATTATTCATTCAAACTAGAGTCAGTGAATTCAAGATGACTACATTGTATGCTTACAACTGCTTACCGCTATCATCTGGAGAGTTGTATCTGTCTCCAAAAGAAAGAAAGAAATTATCGAGACCACTATAACAACACAATATTTCTAGCAAGTGTGCTGACGCTTGGACTACTTTCATGGGCTTAAACTTGTTAATATAGTAGCTAAGGGATGGTCCTGAGTACTTCCTAAAGATAATAAACCACAAACAGAGGCAAGTGTAAAGAAGGTTCTGATACACCTATATTGCACATGACGAATAATTTTATCTAAATAATACTAGTAAAGTTTTAAGAATTCATGCCTCCATTGGTTGAGCTATACAAAATCTTCTCCTTCCTAGAACTAAGAAAGAGCAGAGATTTAATTGATCAACATACTAGTCAGGTGAGTTATAGGAATCATCGATCTATTCGGGATAGAGAAAACTGTTGTGAATCTAAAATATAAATAACAGAGGAAATGTAAATGTAAAATATAAATAACATATTGTGTAGTTCTTAATTCTTGAATCTATCAGACGACTTTTCCGTTAGATTTTAAATTTTATGTATAGTCGGAGCACAAACAACTGATTGTGATGCTAGAGCTTTGCCTTATCTTGCTAATATGCTGAAGAGGCACAAAGATGCTTAGAACTCTCGAGAAGTCAATGGTGTCATTCAATGGGAAGTTGATGCAGTAAAAAATCTTGTTAATGAAAACAGTAGCATCAAAACTCGTGTGAAGTTAGTTTATTCGTATCTAAAAACATTGCTATTGCTGCATCTACGAAAATGGAAAATAGAACAATGAAAGAAGAACGTGGATTCAAGATTGAGATAAAATACCAACCTATTATGTTGTTGTTTTCCCCTTCTATCTTAAAGGGCATTTTATTGTTACCTTTTAAAAGCCTATTTGACTTTGTTAGCAGATAATAGCTACTGCCTAAATATAGTTGCGAATTATCCGACTAATAATGTATATTGAGCATCATGGTGGTCAGTACTAACCACAAAAGAACAATCCTCTAAATTGAATAATGGGAATAACATTAGTACGTTTCTTAGCCATGTTCACCAAGTCCCTTCCACTTCTGTGAGAAAATTCTACAATACATACAACCTCTTCCTGCAAAAATATGATCTCTAATAAAAAACCAGCACTGCCATCAATACTAAATATGAATTAATTCACATACATAGATACTTACAGGACCAACAAGGTTTGAGACATGAGATACTGTGGTTCCTGAAGCAGCACCCAGGTAAAGGACATGATTACCTGGTTTTTGTTACAAATTCAACATGAAAAGAAATATGGTATTCTCAAAACAAAGAAAACAACTTTAAAGCTCATGAATTGACAGGAGACAAACCTAGAATCCAAATATCACCAACTCCTCCGAGAATTGCAGCTGCTGACTTAGAAAGAAAAGGATTCCACACTCTGTATTCAACCTTTGTTCCATCTTCATTCTAAGAATATAGACAAGTTAATAATCTTATACTTTAAAGAAAATCTGGTATTGGGTTAGTTCTGACATGCAGAAGTTAATAAATTTATACTTTATGGATATATTAAGGGTGATAATCAGTACAGAACATAATAGTAGTATACAAGATGGGGAATCTGGGCGTAGTTACAACATCATAATCATTATAGTTCAAAATTTCTTGTTCCATCGAGAATGAGAAAGAACAACAACTCTATGATAAAATTAGCTAGACTTGCATTTAAATTCAATAAGACAAGTTGCATGTAATTTATATGAACAAAACCTTACTTTTAGATCCACTTAATAACCAGATTTCTAACACTAAGTTATGCACATCCTAGAAAGACTCAACCTTGCAAGCATTTGGTAACAAGAGTCATAAAAAGACATACACACAACAAATAGAACAGTAAAAATTCTAACATAAAGATAAAAGAAAGGTTATAACCTGAACATAGATTCTCTTTTTGTTGTAGACAGCTTCACCGGGTACCAAATTCTTAGTACAAAGATCATCTTTGTTTCCCTTAGCAATGAACACGCCTCCATGTCTATGAGGCTCCACCACAACCTTACTACCACCCTTAGCAATGAACACGCCTCCATTGCAAAAGAAAACAAGTAAACAAGAGCTAGGCTTCAAGATTAAGACAAATGACAACCTATTATGTTGTTGTTTCCCCTTTATTTTACACATACTACCTATGTTGGATAGCTAAATTTTCCTTATCATCATATTATTCTGAGTAAGGCATGTCTCATTCAGAACTGTCCAGGCGAATATCAAAACGTATGTGGGTAATACAACTACAAGCTAGACTCCCAAAAATCAACAAAAATCGTGTCTGCAGACACAAGAATATCAAAACCCTAAAGCTAAAATTTTGACTTTCAAAGATACAATTTCTTACCTGATATATAAACCCTATTCCAACAAAATCTTTTCAATGTGATGAAGCTTTAAGACACCATCTTCTCAAGTGAAGCATTTTAGTGAGGCGTGTTCATCTGTGAGGCG